CTCTCTCTCTCTCTTTCTCTCTCTCACACACACACACACACACACACACACACACACACACTCACACACGTGGGTGTGCTCAGGTACATAAATTATAAGAAAGCTAATTATACATGGATATATGAGAAACGTTGGCGAACTGTAAATATTATGTTATTTTCTCCAATCAAATAACCAGCGTCCATAGTTGTGTGGAAAAAAAACCCCACCTTTACTTTTTAAATGATCAGCCTTTATCTTAGCTTATAACAAAATCTTATCACACACGCAGGCCCACACGCACACACATACACACACATCACTCACACACAAACACACATACACACACACACCACTCACACACGTACACACACACCACTCACACACATATACACACACCACTCACACACATACACACACACCACTCACACACATACACACATACACACACACACACACCACTCACACACGCACTGGTGATATGTAGGCCATGAAACTTTCCAAAACTCTTCTGTTGTCACTTATCCAATAACCGGCGTCTTTGGTGTAACGATTTAGGCATTTTGTCCTCACAAGCAGAAGACCCTAGTTCGATTCCCATGGGGGAAGAATTTTGATTGAGTATTTCGATCTATCTGTCTGCTGGGTCGTTGTATCCCCAACTATCACCCTGGGCTGGCACTGAACTAGGCAGGGTCGAAGCCGGCCTTCTAAAAAATAGTCGCTTTTAAGGACAAGCGGGCTAACCCAGATTTCGGGGATTTCCAGAAATCTTGATCTATACCAAAAGTGGGCATTGTCCTACATATAGGAGAAGTTTGGTTTCATTGGTGAGTATATTTGTTTGGTTGTAGAGAAAACTCTCCTCGTCTTTTAAAGAGACTGAATAAGGATCCAAAAATTATAACTTCGATTTTCACAAAACAGCGTTAATCGGGATAGCCCCCTATATTGTGCTTAAAAAACGACCAAATGATCCTTGTCGTGTCGATTAGGGGATTTAAAACTCCTAAATTATGTTTTGGAAAAAAAAACCCAGCAACCTAGTCTCACCAGCGTGTGTGTTTTTCTACAGCATTTCAGAGTGAGTTGGTTGCCTTGATTCCCATGAAAGACAAACGACTGAAGCCAAGACGAACGTGAGTACACCAACCCTGGGTCATGCATGCTGATGCATGTTAAGTACTATGCATAGGCCTACCTATACCGGTTTATGAGTTGTTGTTTTTTGTTGTTGTTGTTTTTTGTTTAGGTTGGGTCTTTCTTTTTGTTTTGTTTCGGAGTTGTTATTGTTTGTTTTTGCTTTTGCAAGTTTGTTTGTTGTTGTTT